GTTTGGGAGGTTTTGAGTTTTTTTTGGAAGGTTTTGGGGTTTTGGAGAGATAAAGTGTTTTTTGTTATGAACCGTAAATAGCAATTTTCAAACCGTAAAAAGCATTTCATTAAGACAAGTACATGTATAACTATGCCAATATGTATTCTCAAATATATATATTACAAAACATTAAATTGGGGAAAAAAAAGGGTATAATACATGTGTATTATAGTCTTACATGTTACTAATTAAAAAAGCAACTTACATTTTACACTAGCAGCAACGAAAATCGAGAGATTCAAACATAATTATGTACACGAAAAGCATGAAGGAAAACCCGAGACCAAAACGTCATACAAAAATCTCCACAAATTCTAATTCATACAACACACATGGAAACTGTGGGGGAGGGCGTTTGAGTCGTAGTTTTATCCTCACCCATCAAAGTCTCCATTTCAAGAACTGGATCTCATCGTTAAAATGTGTCCAGTTTCTCAGAGCAGTCAAAAGCAAAGATGAAAAAAAAATATATAAATACTATTTAAAAAAAAAAAAAAATTGTGATCCAGTGTCTAAATCCAGAAGCAGTAAATACATGCTAACTTTGAATTCTGCTGTACTGAACCAATGGCTGGGAGATGAAAGAAGGGGTGAATTCTTGAATTAGGGTTCAGATGTATATAGGTTTGATGTCATTAGCCCCAAAACTTGCAGCACAAATTGGGCATTTGCGATGACGTGTTTCGATAATTCTTTGTAAGCAAGGATTGCAAAATAGATGGTAGCATTTTGTGATAACCACCTGCCAAAAGAGCACCACCTTATTAGTTCCAGAAACTTTCTCGGTATCGATGATAAAAAACATAGGGCCTCAAATTGCAATATTTAGTTGCCCCGTAATTGTATTGCCTCGGGTCCTATATTCTCTTCTTCTGACATATTTCAGATTAGATTATTCACCTTTGTGGACAGACAGTTAAAAATGAGAATATACCTCTTTTCTTCTATCAAGGCAGACGCTGCATTTGAGAATTTCCTTGTATTCTTTGAGCTCCTGTCGAAGCTTTTCAGCTACAGAGGAACTCTCAACCTGCAATTTCAGCTGTTGAGCCTTTCTCCTCAGAGTATCTAGATCTTCCTCTACTCGTTTTCGCTCAAACCTAGTAAGAAAAAAAAACCAAAAAAAAAATATACATAAATGATTCTTCATATGAAACGGAAATCAAAACTTAAAAAAAAAAACATGTAAAAAACCTCTCGGTTTCTAGATCTATCTGCAGCTCTACAAGACAAGCCCGACTCCCATCAACCTGCGATTGTGCTTCTTCAAGTTTGCCCATCAGCTGATTAGAAGATTTCTTCACATCAAACAATTTTTTTTGGGTATTTTCTAAGGCAGTAGATTTATGGGCTCTATCTTCCGTGACTCTCTTCATGTGATCCGCGTAGGCTTTCAACTGCAGCAGAAAGATAGATTAGTACAACACCAATTTTACAGCTTTAAACAATGAATGTAATAACTCGTATTACCTGATCTTCAATTCTACCAGCTTTGAAGTCATAAAATTCAACAGTTTTCTTAGTCTGCTGAACGGCTTTCTCCAGTATACGCTTTTCCATTCGCAAAGCATCCCCTGTTTGTCTTGCATGCACACCCTCTAAAACAAGCTGAAACAGAAACCAAAAACACTCCAATGAAACTTCCAAAAGTAATCCAAAAATAAGTGACAGTATTAACAAATTCAAATTTGGAATTGACCAATTGAAGGAGAAACAAAAGTTGGTTTTTAGGAAATCCAACTGAAATTAAAGGGACCGAGGGAGTTGTAACCTTTAGATTATAGTCATCTCTCTCAGTGATTTCCGGTAAAAGCTGCTGGTTTTGGGCCAGCATGTCATCATATGCCTGCCCGATAGTCTGTGGCAAATACAGGACAATCTCTTAGGTCCAACTAATATACATAGTAGACATATATGCATGTTTTGCAAAATATAGCAGGATAGAAACCTCTATCTCCGACAGATAGGCCTCGGTTTCTTCATGCTTGGATTTTAGGTTATCAGAAAGTCTTGTTTTTTCCCTGCAAGAGCAGTAGAGAAAGCTTTCAGAATATTCAGAAAGTAAAAGTGCTTTCCGAAAAATTATATGCTTACTGAACCATATTCGAGTCGGCAATCAACTATTGGACACTTTAAAAATGGTTTTTTTCGTATTTTACAATATTTATCCATTAGATCAATGCATTCGTCCACTCGATCCTCAATTCTAACCCAAAGCTAGACACTATCCTCGTCCTCGTCGACCAAGCCAAAGCACAGGTGACTAGTATTTTGCAATACTTTTGACATCTCTACACTCCTTATTTAGTTCTCTTTATTTCTCCAGACTTCTCTACGGATACCATTTTTTTATGTTTCTATTATGTCTGTGGCCAGAAAGCAACAACCAAACAAGTATTTCATCTAGCAGCAGCAATAGAATTGTGACAACGATATACCATAATTTAGAAATGAATGAAGGAAATAAGAATGCAACTTGACTAAGCAAAATTAGTCAATTTCCAGGCTAAGAGCAAGTAATCAAACAATCAGTTCTTTTAACACCTAAAGAACAAATATGTACTCCACACCAAATGAAATTTGACAAGCACAGAATTGAAACATCTATTCTCTATTGGAGAGGGAAAGGGAAGCATAAGTAGACAAAGAAGCAAAAGCAGCTCCAGAAGATGAAAACCAAAAGTGGCAAAGCACCAAGCATACTGGCTTCATTGAGAATAATTTCATGGAATTTCATTAAGCATATGTCCGAAAGAGAAGGAATGGACCTTTTAGAGGCCTCTAACTTATGTCTCAGCTCCGCAATCTGAGCATCCGCGGCAGCTAACCTCTGCTGGGATTTTGCTTCAGCTTCAATTGCAACTTTAACTCGTGACACCAAATTGCGTTCATCGAGCGAAGACTTAAGGCCCTGAACATGAGCCCATGCCTTAATCTCAGCACATCTAGCTTCGACAACTTCCCTGAATACAATACGTAATGGTTAAAAAGCAGAGGTACTAATATAGATTATAATTCAAGGACACTTTTGGTCTACACTGTTCCAAAATATGTACAGGAAGAATGATATCAGATCTTAATAATTAACTGAGGGCTTGCAATTGAAATAGAATATTTCGAACAAAGTGGTTCTGCTTCAAACTTCGATTATAGCTTGCTCAAAGAGCTTACTGGCACCTCTTAGATGTGGAGAATATGCACAAGTACTCGTATAATCATGACAACCATTGAAGTCTTACTCAAGGTAAGTACTAAGAATAGCCTTCTGGAACAAAAGTAAGATCCAATAGAAGTTCTATAATACTATACTGATGCATACTAACCTTGAATCGATTGACCTTTCCAGAAAAAGCTTCAAGCCCATTTCAGTTGCCTTTAAATCACTGATCTGTACCCACAAATCAAATGTGAAAGTTACAAGCCAAGTTGCTCGACTTTGAATAAACAAATTTCACACATACCCTCATTTTTTATATTAGAAAGAACAATTACACTACACAGGGCACTGCAACTCTTCCTGATCTATATCTAGTGTGTTATGTTGAATATTCGGCTAAAATCTGTAGTGACTTTATTACAAGACGAAATTGTCTAGCAAGTTACCCTAATGCAATAAGTATTGTCTCCTAACCCTTTAAGATAAAAAATACAACTCATACCATGGCTTGCAGTTTTTGGATTTCCGCATTTTGCTGAGTCGATCTGGAAGTCAAAGTCTCCAAATCCTTACTCTATATACAAACACATTTATAGACATATGGACAGTTAGCAACTAGAAACAATGGGCTTTCAAATTTTACAGAGAAGATGGCAAGAGTGTGACAAATATTACCTTGCTATCGAGAATATTAATCAGGGATTTTACATCAGCTCGCAAAGAGTGAATGTCTGCAGCACTCTCTTTGTGTTTAGCTAACTGAGTCTGCATGCTCCCCATTCTTTCAGGAAACGATGAGACTAATGCTCTAAACTCCGCAATGATTTCTTTCCTACCTGTAACGAATGAAATCAGTATAGCTGCACTAAACTTAAAAAGAAACGATAAGGACAAGATCAGTTCGCAAGAATGTCAACTAATATACCAGGTTCTTTAGATGCTTCTTCCAGTTTGGCCTCAATTAGATCTTTTTCTTTGGTGTATCTCTGTATCTCCATTTCCAACTCACTTATTCTAGAGTCAGCAACTGCTGAAGATCGATGAAGAACATCAACTAATTCATTTTTCATGTGAAACTCTTTTTCCCGCCAGTAAAGACTTTCTTTCTCAACCTGAAATTAAATGGGTGGATAAGCACAAATATGGAAACAATCTACAAAAAGGAATGAACACAAAATGGACTATCAACCACATACAACCTGTAGTTTCTCATAAAGAGCTTGATATTGAACCACATCTACTTTTGCCTTTGTCAGTTGATCTTTTAGCAAGAGATATGCTTGGGATGAACAAATACAAGTAACATTCTTTAGATTCTTCTGTCAAGACAATTTCACAGGCTAATAAGAGAAGCAAGAAGGGATGCATAATAAGTAGTGTAACACAACTGGAAAAGAAAGAAGCTAAATGAAAATAAATCAACCTGTAAATCCGACAAATGGCTTAATGTAATTAGCCTTTCTTCATGAAGACGCTTTAGCTCATTCAACCGAGATGTTGATTCATCCTGTACAGAAACACAACTTTCATATACCTATTTGATGCAAAAGAAAATTATCATAAGAAAAGAGAGAAAAGACGCATGCAATTACCAATAGCTCTTTCAGTGTCGACTCCATGACTTGCAAGTCTTTCTGTTTCTCCCTTGTTTTATCACTACTTGCCTGTTTATTTCCTCGATTCATAACAGGGAAAATTGACCCTTTTGCCACGTCTCTTTCTGCTTTTATAATTGCCAATTTACAGTTACTTTCTTCCAATTCAGCAACCGTGCTTTCTAAATCACCTTGTATATAGGAACAAAAATTTATCAGAAACATATTTAAGCTACATAAGAAACAAATCATGAATATAACTTGGACAAAACAAGACCAAATAAGAATCATGCTATAACAGGATAAATAGTTGAATAGGGTGAACATAAAACAAAAGTGGTCGTAAAAGAAGGCTGAAACATCATAAGTTTTTCCAGGACCAAAACTCATTGGACTCATAAAAAAAACAAAAGGGACGATAGACGGTCAAGAACAGGGCTATGCCAGATCAAGACAAAATAGAAGCCGGATAAATCATTATATACAAGGTAGGGAATTCTCTCTCTATTGAATCACAAACAAAAAAGTGTTATTCAGGCACCATGTCAAGTCAAGTATTGTCCTATTGATTACTCTCCATCTAAGCTCTCTATCAAAATTCTATAACATTGTCATAAAATTTCAAAAAACAATGCAAGGAAAATCTTCAATCAAGTTCTGGATATGACAGGTTAGAGCTCATAGAGGATATCCTGCTAAAAAGGTCAACGGCTTCCAAGTTTGCCAATATAAGAAAGAACGCAGAGATACAAAATAGATTACTTCTTTGAGTTCACGGAGCATTTTGCAATCAAACAAAAAAAACAATAGTAAGAAGCTGGCATGCTTTAGAAGGTGTATACACCAAAAACATTATCAGCAAACTAATTTCTACAAGGACAAATTATACATTGTTTGATGCAACACGCGCCACATAGAGATAACAACCCACAGAAACTTGTTATTAAATTGTTTCAGGCAACATTAAGATAGATACAAATAAAAGACAACAGTGTGAGCAACGAAAGGAAAAGCTACAAGAGCAACAATAAATTAATAATTTCAAACTGTTGTACTAATGCTCTTCAATATCAGCTAAAATTTAGTTACTGCGGAAAAATTAACCATTACGTACAACCGTCAAGTAATCTCAAAGGAGGGACTTAATAGATAAGATATTCTAAGAAGACTAAATGATTGTGGTCTCATAATTAACATACGTCAAAACGAACTCTTATGTAGTTTGAGCGAATTTAAATATTTAACATACGTAACAAAGTATGTATAATCAAGACACCAATGTTTTCATTGACATGCCTCGTGAGTTCCAGCACACCCAGTATATTTAGAAGATATATGCATAAACAAGACAGCAGCGACAGAGATAGGTCATAAGAGCTAAAATATGAATATTTGGTCCTTCAAAAGCTTCCTACAAACGGATAAATTTATGCTAAATTGAAAATATTAAGTTACGCTCCAAAGTATAAACTCTAAGGAGATGGAAAAGAGTATCAATTAAGTCCTGATAAATTGCATTTTGATAGACATGCCTATAAAAAATCTACATCCACATGAGCTAATAATGGGCTTGTACAGTAGATGGTCTCATATTATAAAATGTATTACGAAGATTGCTACATATCTATAGAAGTTTGTTTCTGAAATAACTAGTAGATCTTCTTAGTGGGCTATTTGGACACAAAAAAGTTTGTAGCAAAGCTAACAGAGTCCTAGTAACAAGAGAAATTAAGTTATCGAGTGCCACCAATAAAAATCAAGATGGGAGCAATCTACAATAACCAAGACATAACCCAAGTACATGCCACGATTTATTTTGGTAAGAGGTACATGGCATATACAAATTTATTCGAAGACCAGATCACGAGTAAACTGAAGCTGAAGGAACTGCAGCTAGACAAGGAAGCCATATACATTGGCAAGCACCCTAGTTTATGGACATCAATAAAACAGCAAAGTCATACTTGTAGAACCTGACTAAGACATTGCAGAGAAACAAATAGAATACCTTTCAGACGCTTCAAATCAGCTTTATTCTTTGCATCAGCATCTCTACGGCTCTGCAGATCACCAGCCAGGGATTTATGTTCTAAGTGAAGCTTGAGGACTGCAATTCTCAAATTCTTAACCTCGTTCAGTAGATCAGATGAAACCACCTTCTGGCTCTGTCCTACAATGAGTGGGGAGGAAGGAAAGTGATACATAGATAGATAGCTTCATAAATATAAAGAGACAGATAGAGCAGAGAGGGTGGGAGGGAAACATGTGCAATCCAGTTTGGAGCATACAAGAAATTTTATATACTTTAAAAACCCAAAACTCATGCATATTTGTCAGACGATCTTACCATTAGATAAGACTGCCTGCAGAGATGTAGTGTACAATATATGCTTCAAATTGTTCAGGCCATCAAAGGAAGCTACTATGTTGTGAAGTATGTTCTTTGTTGTCTTTGACTCTTCATCGTCTATGTTTCTAACTTCTTCTGTTGGATTCACAATTGAACTTGCTGAACTACTTTCAGTTGCACCTGTTTCTAAAAGCCGGCTTAATAAGGCATGCTCTGGAGGTGAATCACCATCTACAGTCAATCGTAATAACTTTATTAGCAAGTGAATATTCAAGAAACAACATTTTTTTACCCAACAATGAAACGTAATAACAAAACATTAAGAATTGCTTTATTTTAATAAAATAATTACAGTATGTTCTACAACAGAAAGTCTGTAGATTAGATAAATGTCGGAACAGAAGAGATTATCAAGTAAATTGCAAGATTAGTGCAGAAAGAGTTCCATAAGAAATAGCTGGTACAAGTTAACTCCAAATACCCACAGTTTCAATACTCTGCAGTAATTCCTTCTTCCTTTTTGGGTGGTGATGGAGGTGGCAATGATGAGAAAAAGATACATACGCAGCATACAAAGCTGATGTACACGTAGCATAACAAGGAAAATATAATAAGATAACATACATATGGAGTTAAATTACAATGCCAGGAAAGTTTAAAAAACAAAAGAAAAAAAAAAGGTAAGGGACTCAAATTCTTCTATTCAGTATTGACCATGAATTTATAGCTCAAGGAAATCTAAATTTCTGAAAAATAACTAAATCCAACAATTCAAGTATTTATGAAACCCACTGGAAATTGATGAAAAGATTCTATTTATTACTCAGGGGAAAAAAAGATAAAGAAGCAGCGTACGTATGCAATGTTATATGTCAAATTGTGAGAACAAATTCCAACATATACAAATGAAATTAAATTAGGACATGAAAGAAAAGTTCGGATATGGTAAAAAACAATACATAAGGCTTTCACATCCTCAATTCAGAATATATCATAATTATTTGACTGGCTCATAGAAAACATAAATTTCCCATAAAAGAACCCAGTCCAACATATCTTTACAAAGATACATGGTAAAACAAAACAGATGCATTTAGTACATCTTTCACATCTGAGAGCCATGGAAAATTCATGGAGAACTCAAACTTATTAATTTATAAAAAATAAATAAACAATAAATAGAAAAATTCACCACGGGAATGCATCTACCTATTGCTACCATAAAAACAATTCTGCCCGAATGGAAAGAACAGACATCATAAAAAAGGAAATACTATATCACACGGGTGATAGCCCGTGAGGAAACCGATTTCTGCTACTTTTCATATCGGAAGAAATTCCTTCCGCAAGACGCTGCTCATCCAAAATAGTGAAAGCCCTAAAAATCGAAGCGGAGGTGTAGTTCTTTTACCGATCCAAGCAATTAAAAAGGGAACATCTTGCGAGCGTATGACAGCCAATCGGGTAGATACATAAAAGAGTAAATATTATAGCCGTATATCACCAAGTTAAGAAATACACCTAGGATCTAATTAAATATCCATATTAATTAATGCACATCAAAATGTGAAGGTCAGCTTACTTAAAAAAAAAAACTCGTTCTACAACAATAAGAGTTGAACATATAACAAACCTCCAAAAAAAGAGGTTGGGGAGTGAGCAATAAACACGGAAGGAGGAAATACATATAAAAGAATCCTCTTAAAGCACCACTTACCATCTTTGACTAGGTGGCATTCAAATCCTCGCCCACGTTTTACTAAGTCCAGTGTGCATTTAGAGCGTGATTCCAAGTCATCGACCAGCTGGACCAAAATCAAAGACAATATCAAGAGGAGTTTGTTTACGTGTCGAGTATGCCATTATAGTCCTGTTTGTAAAGATTTAACTACATTTTTACCTATGTAGTGCATACATCAATGAATTACATTTTCCCGAAAAAAGAAATACTTAAATCAGACTCACAAAGTTGGTTCTTATGATCAAGAAGGCCCAAGAAGGCATTATTCCAGAAATTTTTATTTCGTTAGGATTGCCAAATACAGGCTCACCAATCACAAAAACGGGGTTCTACATATAGTGTGGCTCGAAAATTAGTTCATTCTACAACTTCCGCCTACCACATACCCACATACGAATACTTCAAAAGTACCACCGTAAGCAAATTCAATGCTTAGACGAAAAGTCACAGACCACCAAATAAACACAACCATCTTCATATCTTTAGAGTTGATAGCATCCCTAAATTATTGCAACATTGCAAGTGATAAATAAATTTTCTGTTGGTTCGGAAGCAAATGGCAGAAAAAGCAATGAGTAAGTAATGAGTTTTATATACTAATTCAGGGATTTTCCCTATCTTTATTTTCTTATTTTTTGGATTCTGAATTTATGAGGATAGCGGTGAGCAACTATGACAGTTTTGACTTTATTACCACACTCTTTATTTCTGTTCTTCTTCTTTCTATCACAATGGTGGTACGATCTAGAGATCAAAATAAAAATTGTTTTTTGATTGATGTGTTTCTGTATTCTCAATGACGAGCAGAAGGCGGACATGGAGCATAGGAGCTAGCATATATCATGACAGAAGCAGTGCAAAGAGAAGCCATAACTATGTTTTCATTGAGTTCCAATTTCTGTTTGAAAGGTAATTGGCCCAAAGGGTGCAAATAACTAATGCCAAATAAATTGCCTCGAGCAAAAGACTCCAACAATTAAACTAAGATGAACAAGAAGAATATAATATGCACCTCTTGCCATGAATTCTTGACCACAGATAAGGTATTATCATATGGTTGTTGCTTGTCTTTCAAGCCACGTAATCTGTCTTCAAGAGCATTAATCTCAACCTTCTGAGTATCCAACTTCCGCGCGAGGTTTTGATTTTGAAATTGAAGAACTGCTGCATCAAGCTACAGTAAAATGGAAATTTTGGACTGTTAGGTGTCTCCACAGTTAAGGGCGGGACTCTCACAAGAAAAATATTTGCAGAAAGAGCTTAGTCAACAGAGACTATAGCCAAGTGACAAAAGGCCATTACATAATAGGCTAATAGCAAATCACAGCATAACCAACTTCCACAAATTATTTTTATAAAAAAGAACACATCCACTATAAGCTTATTTGCTCAGCCCAAATTACTAATCAAATACATTCAACCTCTAAAATAGTGCAATGCCGGTAATCATCCAATTAAATAAACAAAAAACAAAATACAAGCAGATTTGTTCATCCCGAATTACTTATGAACAACATTCAAGTTCAACCTCTAAAACCATGCAATGAAGGAAATCATCCATTTTTTGGTAGATAGAATAAATAATATACTTTAGAAAGAAAAAAAAAATCAATATTATTTATTCACTAAAATCCAGGATTGGACCTAAGCTTGTGATTCGAGAATTCAATATCCGGCTATAAGAGAGTTCCGATTCTTTTCTTAACTGTTTCACATCATAGTTAAAAACTCCTTCACGCGAAACAAATACATAAATAAGATCTCCGCATATCGCAAAGCTTCAGATTATGAAATCGCGGTAGCTCAGATTGCATCAGAAACAAGTAATATTAACGTAACTGTAAACAAGTTAAATAAACACAAAGAAGTCCATACAAGATCACTGGTGCCTTATATCGTCCGCCCGACGAGTGAGCAAGCAAACAAACTACTCATGCAAAAATTACTGCATAGTCGTAAACTCCACTTAAACTCCATAAATCCTAGCACATAAATAGGCAGAAATCTACCTTTTTCTCCTCGGATAACAGCGCAAAAGGCTGTTTCTTAAACGCAGCGCCAGTGGGCGATATGGAGCTAACGTGACGTCGTTTCTTGTCAGATTCACCTGTGCTACCCATTAGAAACCCAACCCTCCAAACCCTAGAATTATCACTTCTCCATTAAACCCCCAAAAATACACAAATTCTACACAACCAATCCACGAAACGGATGAACAATTCAACCAAAAACCATCATAGAAACCATGCATGTACGAAAATCCAACCCTGGCACAAATTGGTAACTCCGATTCAACAAACAACAACAAAAACTACCCCAAAAAAAATTACAGTTTCTTCTCCAACTGCGGCGAAACCCTAGAAATAAATAACAGTTAATTTATAAAATTAATATAAGTAATCTTCTCTGTCTATATCACCTCTACCGGCTCTGTAAAAATTAACTGAATAAGTCTGGAAAAAAAAGGAAAATCACACTCTCGCGCATAGAAGAAACCTCTGAACACAACAATATGTGGGAAGAGAGAGAAAGTACAAATTCTAATAATATTATTGGAGCGGTCGGGGGAATTAAGAAATTTTTATCGGGGTAAATTGGTCATTTGACCTGATCGTGTAGTATACGCGCGGCTGCTTAATGAAATCATGCGTGTCAACAATCTTGCTGACGTGGTGTATACAGGTGGGAATTGAAATGTGATTTAGTCATTTACTAATTTTCGATTTCGTCGATTCCGATCCAAATATTATTTTGTTTTGGAATTTTTTTATTCTTTTTTTCATGTCGGGTTCTGTTTTTTTCTAAACGGAATGATATTTGATATTGACTGATTTTCGATTCGATTTTAATTTTTCCGAAAATCCAATTTCTTCCGACAATGACAATAATATTAATATTATTATGTATTTTATATATTTGAATTTCGAAAATTTGGATCCAAACATTTCAAACTTTGGAAAAATATTTTTGTTCTTGTTTCCGAAGTTTCGACAATGATTTTATCCGAGTTTTTCTAGCATTTAATTTTCATTTGATTCGTCCGATTTCCACCCTAAAAGAAGATACGCCGATATTTGAATAATGAAATGACAAAACGACCCCTACTAAGCAAATAGGCATTTTTGGTTGGTTGCTAACATTTCGTTAATGAGCTGTAGTCGTATGGATCTTTTCTATTTTAGTAGATTTCGAAAACGGGCCGGCCCAAATTTATGTTTGGTCTAGCATAGAATACAGGGTAAATTACGAAAATCCCCTAAATTTAGACTAAATAACAAAAAACGCCCCACAAATCCGTAATTACCAAAATCCCCTTTTGACTACTGTTGACGGAGTTTTTTTAACAGAGAATCTGTGTAGTCCACTATACATTATGTTAAATAGGTGAGAAATAAAAGAAAATATCCGAAATGATTCCTTGAAATAAAAAAGATTTCATGAAAAATATGTACGGGTTTGGTGTAGGACGGAACAAACATCAGGGAGGTTTTGATAATTACAAATAGGTGGGATGATTTTTGTAATTTAACCTAAGTTCAGGGAGATTTTCGTAATTTATTCTAGAATATACCCATAATTTAGGATGTGTTAAAATCAAATGAACAAATAAAGAAATAAAATTGATTAATAACTAGTACCGATACATCCATTCTAAAAGTGGGAGAAATAGAACATTCACATGTTGTGAAGTACAAAAAGAATAAAATAATTGATTTAATTAATCATTTCCCGATACTGACATTAATACTAATACTACAAACTTGTTATTATTTCATTCATTCATTCATCTTTATTTGAAATTTCGTGTCTCTTCTTCAGCCCAGATTCGACAAGGAGAGTCAAAAGAGCCTCACACACTTGAGAAGCATCCGCCTCAGACGTATCGTCGTTCAAAGACGAATACACCATCCAAGCGTGGTCCAATTTACGCTTGGGCCGGACCACAATCGACCCCGGAACCTCCGCATCTCTGCAAGTGACGAGCCCATCGCTCTTCTCACCGTACCTAATCTGGAGCAGCTGTGCACAGGCAGCCATTGCAGCACCTAGAGGGATGACCACGGGAAGTGTGGTGGGGTTGCCAACGGAGAGCGGGGAGAACGTCGGAAGCTCCGCGTGGGCCACGCGGGATAGCGTGGCCAGAACTGCCGGAGAAATGCTTGCTTCGGTGTGGAAGGAAACTATGGGAAGGTCCTTTGGTAAGTGGTATTTTCTCAGGAAGTCTTTTCTTTTCTCGTACGTCAAGTCTTCTAGAGCCTGCATGTCACCCTTTGGAATAGATCGAAACATATTAGCCCCCACATTTGCGTGTAATTACGACATTTGCGTGTAATTACGCTATTCTAGGAAATTGCATTTTTTAGCGTAACGAATGCATTTCAAATTAACTTTCGGTTACAAATGCATGTAATTGCGAATCGTGTTACGAATGGAAGGCGGAGAAAAAGTTACCTTGATCACTTTACAGATGAGGATCTCCATAAGCTTACGGATGTTAACGTAGTCGCCAAGCTGACCTTCTCTCAGTATATCCGAAGCAATTGGACTACCACCATAGGGGCTCTGTGCTAATGCTAATCCGGCAACCTTATCTTTCAGTTCATCCCAATACATTGATAAAGAAGCAGCAGCATCTACTCCCCCTTTACTATGGCCAAGTAACAAAACCCGTTTTTTCGAACCCCAATATATCTCTTCTATATAGTCCTTAATCTCTTTAGCATTCTTCTCCACTGAAGCCTAAAACTTAATTACATCATGGAACAGAAAGAAGTGCGTAATAGACATCAATTATATTGATATTTGATCATTACCTCGCTGTGAATTTTAGCTATATGACATGTGAGTCCCATCTTTGAAAAGCTCGTTTTTGTGTTCACGAAGTAAAGAGGTCCATGGTTGCTGAAAAGACCTACAGACAGGTAATAACTATCAGACGATTCTTACTAAAGATAACATATATGAATCACTTTTCATCTTTTCAAATTTCAATTGCCAATTCTCAACTTATCATGTTTATGTATTATAATATGGACATGATTTTGAACTGAACTAAGCAACGCGACAATAATGTAGGCATGGGTCTAAATACTGGGCCCTGATGAAGGCACGAGAGAAAACTCGAAGAACTTAATCAAGAGAAAGTGAATATTAAGTACGACAAACGAACTTCTACCTGGGACTAACAAGTAAACCATTGTGTTTGGCAACGCGTGCAAACCATGCCTGATACAAGAAAATTACACAACTCCATTACGAATTAGAACTAGAGACGTAACTAATCATTAATCAGATAAAGTGGAGAACATATCGGATAATATTTATATATATACCTTATATCATCAAGTATCTCTGTGAATCTTTCAGTTCCATCTTCAACAGGTGGCATGTCCGTAGCTTGTTGTAGCCATCCAATATCATCAGCAGAACCACGAACCGTCCTCCTGACCTTCTCAACGATACTAATTGCAGAGGATGTACAATGCATAAATAACCATAAGAGTATATAATAAGTAAAATGAATGAGAATGTGATGTACATAAATATCCTTCAAACGTAGAATGTGATGGGCAGGAATTTACAAAATTTAACAACTTTCGACATAACAGTTTTTCTAACAAAATTGTGGCTACCATCTTTAATATGTTATGATGCCATGATAATAAATCAACGTCAACTTATAAAATACGAAGTTCTTTATCGATACGTTATGAAGGCTGCATACTAGTAGGCTAAGAGAGTTAGTACCCTTGAAAAATGGAAAGACCAGTTGGGTTCGTGTTATTTGATAGCGCAAGCATGTTAGGATTTTGAGAAGATTCTCCCAACGGGCTCCTGGTTATTCCAGACTGGACCAAAGGAGCATCAAAGTTGTTGTAAATTGATTCGGAAACAGATGGAACACTTGCATCTGAAGACCAGTCCCTGTTAGCTGTTGAGGCCCTTGCCTCTCCAGAAACAAATGCCAACATTTCCTGCCCATCATTGTCTCGAGATGCAGTTTTTACTGCAATAAGTGAAGAAGCAATAACTGCATTAGGGTTTAACTAAGATAAAAACGAGGAAGTGTATATATCTACACGTAGCATATTATTATTGTGGGAATTTTTGTTTGAGGAGGAAAGGGGGAGGGGGTGTGAAAGGAGAAACTCTATACTTGGTACTAACCGAGAGGAGCTGCGATAAAATATTTAATCTCTACACTTAACCATGAGAAGTTTACATCAATTTATGGAACGGAAAAAAGGTCATAAATAGTTAAATCTACTGAGACATAGGGATCAACTGCTTCGGAATGCACACATTTCTTACTCTGATTAATCTATCCAGCTCCAATACGAAATGAAGCTGGATATCCATTCTCCAACAAACTCTCTTAAATAACTACTTTTTCACATATATTCGTATGGAACGATGAAGAATTACAGTTCTTCAGAATCTAAGATCTTTTTGACAACAAAACGTTAGAAGACTGACGCAAGTCAAAATCAGGAACTAGGAAATAAGAACAAAGATGAAGCACGTGAACGAATGATAGTTTCAACACGATGACCGTCAAGTAAATAGCATATTAGTTCAGGATTCAGCTGAAAGAAGAATATGACACAGTAAAATACCACAATATTTCAATTTATGTGGAATATTAAGCTATAGTCGACGAACAGACTAACTCCCCCAAATAATATCAAGAAAACCCATGCAACCACCCTTTTACGGCTAAAAAATTGATAACATCGATCCGCGGAAATATTTTCTATAAGAAATTTAAAGTTTCTCCTTCCATCAGGAAGCATCATTTCACCCTCCAATAAAAAATTCCATATGAACACAATCCCCAAGTAGATATTACCAATTAATACAATCCGATCAGCATAAAAATATAACCCAACTCCAAAAATCGATAACAAAGAGTCGATAAAATACCGGAAATATCTGGGAAGCAGCGAGTGAAGATAGACGTCGTCTCGGCGAGATAGGAAGCAGCTTCATGTAGAGCTGGCACTGATGTAAACAATTGGGGAATTCCAGGGCGATCATCCCTCAACGAGGTCCCATTTACCTTTTACAAAAAAAATTCAAAAAAAAAAAACAATAATCATTAAATTACCTCAAGAACAACAACAAAAAATCCTCCAGTTTCAAAAAAAAAACACGTAAATTACCATAGGCGGTGGGCTGGACTCTCCGCTCTTGGAATTTCTAGCATCCATACCCAAAAAGGGTTAATTCGCGCGGAACTTGAATAAATTGTAATAAAATCCTTGTTTTCTACGGCAAGAAATCGCTCGAATCCGAATAAACTGACACGGATGAACAATATTAAACCCAAACCGCCACGGAATTCTGATGATAGCTCAGTTCCGAAAATAAATTTAACGAATTGTTAACCAGATTTCTCATATTATGATGCATAGATAGGCGCTGAAGAAATGGGTAAAAATTGGGCGGAAGGTCCACAACGACGTCGTTTCTCTTTCAATTTTCTTTTAATTTGGGAATTAATTAATAAAAGAAAAACATACGTGGCCAATTATCTTGACAACTGTATTAAATTATTGATTTTTTTATTTTTTATTTTTGGTTTTAATTTCATAGACTTATTCAGTTATTTTTCTTGGTCCACCAGATCATTGCATGCAATGACACGTGTTTGGATAAAAGGACATGGATAAATTTATTTTGGACTTTCTACTTTAGTATCCGGCCGATCAAATTCAGTTCGATCCACATGGATTCAGTTTGTTTAAAAATCTAGTTAGGAACAAATCGAATCAGAGTGCATGTATATTTTAACAAGTATTCGATGAATTTTAATGAACAGATCTTGGATCAAATATTGAAGAGATTGATTTACAATCTTCAATTTATTTTTGATTTATTCATATTTCCAACATAGGGGCACAAACTCAAATAGAGCATATTTATATGTAGAAATCATCAAGACTTCACAATATTGTTTTTAAATTGAATTAAACAAACACAATCAAGAAAAATACTTAATCTAATTCCAATCCAAAATGTAAATTAAATTTATAATCGTTGAATAGGGATGAAAATTGGAACGAAACTTTTGAAGCCAAGATTCCAGTTCGAATATTTTCAAATGTAGAACTCACAATATTATTTTAATCAAGAAGTGTAAATTAAATTAAACACACAAACACACATTCAAGAAGGAAAAACACATTAATTCGGAGCCCTTTTTTTTCATGCATAATATAAATAAATTAAACAACTCTTCCATTTTTCTTTCAATATAATAATAATATAAATAAAAAAAATATTCAGAGGCTTCGAAGAAGAATCCCTTCAAATGTGATTCCGGGGCCAAAAGCCAAAGCCAGCCCCCACTCTTCACCGCCGCCGCCGTCTTCCGCCGCCGCCGCCGCCGCCTTCTTCTTCTTCATCTCCTCCCTCATATACTCCATCACATACAGCACAGTGTTACTGCTAACGTTCCCATAATCCATCAACGCCCTTCTAGAACAATCCAGCTTCTCCTTCCCCAACCCTAGTTTCCCCTCCAGCCGGTTCAGTATCGCCGGTCCGCCCGGGTGAACCGCCCAGAACAGCTCGTTGTAGTCCTCCACGCCGGCTTTCGCCATCAACTTATCGCAGAATTCTTTGATGTTGTCCTCGATCTTCTGCGGCAGATCCCGGCCGAGCTTGAAGTATATCCCCTCCTCCGACAGCCGCCCGTCGATCACCTCGCTCGTCCCCGGCAGGAACTGCTGCACCGCGAAGTTCAGCTCCAGGAACGGTGATTCCAAGCCGGGGACGGGTTCCGCCCCGATGACAACGGCGGCCGCGCCGTCCCCGAACAGGGCCGCCCCCACGAGGTCGTAGGGGCGGGACTTGTTCGGGGGGCGGAACCCTAGGATCGTGGTCTCGGAGGTCGCGAGGAGGACGCGGCTTCCCGGGTTGTTCTCCGCGATGTCCTTGGCTACGCGGAGGCCGGTGACGCCGCCGTAGCAGCCGAGGAAGTAGAGCATGACGCGGCCGACGTCGCTCCGCAGGCCGAGCTCGGAGGCGAGGAGGAGGTCGCCGCCCGGGAGGCGGATCTCGCTGGAGGAAACGTAGACCAAGTGAGTGATGTCCGACGCCGGGCGGCCCCACTCCTTCAGGCAGGTCAAGCTGGCCTCCGTCGCCATTTTAAGGACAGCTGGATTCGCGATGTCGAGCCTCTGCTTGATCGTCGGAGTACCCTCGGTGGCGAGCTCGGGGTATTGTTCGAGTATCTCTCTTGACATTACTGTGTATCTTGTTTTCACAGTTGTTGTTTTGCCTACATTAAAAAATGGGAAAGTCGGAAATTGGCACGAAAAAACTTGTTCCAAAAATCGAACATTTTCAAGTAGAAATCGGTGTAATTCGGAATTTCCGAATTCGTAGTCACCTATAATATAAAATATGTGATAATATTGATTTTATAAGTGTAACTTTATGAAATAAATTGAAATTTTCGAAAAACGAAATCAGAATCTAATATGTATTCCAATTATTTTTAAAATAAAAAATCGGAATTTTCGGATTCGGAATGACAAAATGTTGTTCGAAATCGAATATAATCGGATCATATCAGAATCGACGGAATTCGAAAACTCCGTTACGATTTCTGAAAATAATGAAATATATGGATGTATTATTGCGAGTAAACGAACTACAATGTTACTTACATAGGCGTTCGAGTTTTTCCTTAATGACCAAATCATGGCATTTAGTGTCACGGATGAAGCCTTCGACCAAGCAGTCCTGAGGGACGAGTTGACTCGGGAAGGCCTTTCCGATAGCGAGGATAGTTGCCTTCCCAGGAGTCGGAATGCGCTGAGGTGGCAACGATTTCTTCGTTTCGCCATTGTTGTTGTTGTTGATTTGAGACATAGCCAATATTGTTTGATTGTTGTAAGAAATGTGATTTTGTGTGGAAGGTTGATGGTGATTAGGGGTGAATATATATGGGATTGTAGTGTGATGTTTGGAGGGCGTTTGGTTTTAAGGGAAACTTGCATGACAAATTAACAAATCCATGCATGGGTTTTGTTTTGAGTGGTAATTATTATTTTTATTAAAAAAAATATTTTTGGTAGTGGGACTGAATGTGTGAGGGTAATAATTAGATTGAAACAATCTTTCTCTTCTCTGTACTTGCAATGTAAGAAAAAATAAATAAATAAAAAATTAATATTCACAAATCTTTCTATATAATGCAATAATTACTCTGGTGCCTTTTAATCTTATATACAAAAGAAAGAAACGCTACGTAACCTAAGAAATCCTAATGGCATATTTGTAAAAATAAATTAATTTATGTGCAAATATAATTTTTTTTATCTCCTATTTTGTAGCTATTTTTTTGTAAGTACTTTAAAACAAAATCTCGGTTAGGACAATCATAATCCACTATATCTATACTTTTTTCATTATTATTATTATTATTATTATTATTATTATTATTTTCCAGCGTATGTTTTCTAAATAAAATATGCTTCATTTATTTAATGATATATTTCATATTATGACTATTAAGATTTTATTGTTTTTTTAAATGAGTTTGTATTATTAAATTCGTATAAATATTGATGTTATTATCGATATCATTAATAAATTTAATTATAATTGATATTATCATGTATTAAACTAATCATCATTTTCATTTGAAATGCTATTACGTGCGCACGGTCGAAAATGCTAGTTATTACTATATTCAGATTCACTAATCGTGCATGGGTTTTTAGGCTTGCATGAGAATGGGCCAAGAAATGATTTTTTTTTTTTTTGGGAATCAACAATTCATTAGTCCATTTAGAGGCCCAACACACTAGATCATTTCTTACTCGATCATAATATTGGATCCGACACAATTTTGCCCACCATTTCGAGCTCATATTCTTGTCTATAACACCATATTAATTACTAAGGTAAATTACAACCGCCCCACTAGGTAAAGTTTACTAACGAAAAAACTCCTCATTTTTTAATAATTACATGCACCCCTTGAAATTTGAAGATTTGTCAAATAACACCCTTTTGTAGGGGGTGGATGTAAGAAATTAATTTACAAACTGCAGGAGAGCTGGACGTAATTCCTAAAAAATAAGGGTTTTTCTGTAATTTAAATAATATGAAGTCGTAATCAAACGTCGCCAATTAGTATTATTTAAGGATTAGGTGCTAAATATCAATCAATCATATTTTTCTAAATATGTGGTCCTCCCCTATTCAAAATAGACCTTAACATTTTAATTATTAGATTCATCACATAATACTTTCAAGGGCCATATCCATATTGTCCAATTATCAATATCATACTGCGAATAAATGAACTGCATTCTCACTAAATTATAATCTATTTTCGTATCCGTGTCATGAAAACCTTGATCTTGTTATTATCCATTATTTTTAGGCAAATTCTTGTTACGTTGTGTGGAGTTAGTTTTAGCATTTTTTTTTTTATTAAAATTTGAAAGTTACGTTTAAGAAATCGAGTCGAGCATGAATTGAATCGAGCACGGGTAACTCGACTTTTATACATACTTTATTATTTATTTCTAATTGAGCTCAACATAGTTGTTCAAGCGGAAATAGGTGTTCAAGCTTGGTTGGTTATGTTAACAAACCAAACCCAAACGAGATTTTAACTAACGACTATGGATTGAGTTTCGAGAAGTTTGATTTGATTTTCAGCTCTAATTGTGAATGACCATAATACCCTTCTTGCCAATATATATATATATATATATATATATATATATATATATATATATATATACCTTTAAACATTGAAGCTTAAAACTACATACACACTACCATGGCAAATTCCCAAGAACCTTCCAAAGTCCCGATCTTCGATCTTTCCCCGAAAAACCTAAACCCCGGTTCAAGTTCATGGCCACAAGCTTGTAAGAATGTGAAACAAGCTCTTGAAGAGTACGGGTTTTTCATTGCACATTACGACAGAGTCCCGTACGAACTGGACAAGCAACTCTTTGAAGAACTGCAAGAACTGTTCGATTTGCCACTCGAGACAAAAACACGAAACACTTCCGATTTGGTTTTCTATGGTTATGTGGGACAACTCCCCCACGCCCCTCTCCACGAGAGCATGGGGATTCCAGATGTGACAACCTTTGACGCTGTTCAAAACTTCACAAATCTCATGTGGCCTTCCGGAAACAAGACATTCTGGTATTATTACATACTTCGAGTCTATATATATGGCTCGTGTTTTTTTTTTTTAAATTTGCATCAGTTGCACATACTTAAATGTTGTCGAAACAAATTATATCTAACAATATGGATGAACTTTTGTTATATTTGCATCATAGTAAAATTCCAGACACCCTCAAGTAAAATCATGAATCTGCACCGGTCTAGTTAGAACCCTAAGTAAAATCCTAAATTCGGCACTATTTCTAATTGGTTCCGAATTTTAATTTGTTTTCTTATTTCTGGCACTCGTCCTGAAGTGAAAGCATACTAAGTTATGCAAAGCTAGTGTCGGAGTTGGAACAAATAGTGGACAAAATGGTGTTCGAAAGCTACGGTACACAAAAGCACTACAAATCCCACATCGAATCAACTACTTATCTCCTCAGAACAATAAAGTACTCAGTTCCAAAAATAGCCGACGACAAAAGCAAAGACAACATCGGAACAAACGTTCACACGGACAAGAGCTTCTTGTCCATACTTCACCAGAACCAGATTAATGGACTATACATACAGCTCAGAAATGGGGAATGGTTGGCTGTAGAAGTCCCACCTGGTTCCTTTGTGGTCATGGCTGGAGATGCTTATCAAGTATTTATTACCTTCTAATTATGCTATTTTTTAATTAAGTATTTATTTTTCTAGAAAAACTACGATTTTAATGACACGATCTTGAACAATTTGATATAAAAAGGCATGGAGCAATGGGAGGATATTTGCAGCCAAGCACCAAGTGGTGATGAAAGGGGATGTCCGTATGCCTAGGTTCTGTTTGGCCCTGTTTTCGTTTAACCATGGCATGACCCATGTACCCGAGGAGCTGGTGGACCCGGAGCATCCGTTACGGTTCAACCCGTTTGATAATTTTGGGTTGGCCCGGTTCTATCTCAGTGGTGTCACCCAGATGACTGAGAGCACTGCCCAGGCCTACTGCGGTATTACTTCCTAAAAGTTTCGACTCTCTCTGCTAGAGGTGATGATGCTCTGTGTACGTTGTATGTGCTCTCTTTATTTGTGTGTGATGTGTATAAATGCTTATCTAAATAATTTCAGGTATTGTGAACTAAATTGAAGCCTAAAAATGTCTATATTCATCATACTATGTCTTCTCTAACTTTGTCACACGTACTCCTATCGAACCAGAATATTTGTTCAAAATACTGATCTCCCAAGTATTTATAACAGACAAATGTACCCATATAGAGTTAGGCTTCTGTGAATACTCACTCGTGTTTGGGTATCCAAGTGAAAGGTATATAATAGGTGGTCGAATGCTTCTAACAAGCTAATAAGTAATAACAAAATAAAAAACCTTCAAAGTATTCACACACACACACACACACACACACACACACACACACACACACACACACACACACACACACACACATATATACATAGTAGTTACCAGTTAGCTAACAAACAGTGGGCGATGGATATTACCGTAACTTTGGACGCCTCATGCAGCACGGCGATAATAATATCTGCACAAAAGAATTGCATGAGTAACATATGTATAGGATAGTCATATAGTATACACAATAAGATACGCATAGAGACTTACACGTAAATATTGATGCCATACATAGCGGCATATTTTCGTAGAAGGCGTTCAACAGTATACCATTCTGAACGATCCGTACCCCCTTGATAATTAATCCTTGGCATGTGGATTGAAGCTGCCAGAGGTAAAGGAACACAAGATTAATTATAGCATATTTGTTTAAATATTCTATATATATTAGATTAGCTGACAGATTCACATAGAAAAAAAAATGGAAGTACTTCTGTTTTCCGTTCCCAAAAGATCGTTCATAAGAAACTAAGCTGTCGTGCATATAAGAAACTTGCAAGAGCAATATCTAATCAGAATTTTTCTGGTGATTGGTTAAAACAAAAGTCAAGCATGAGAAAAGGCGACCAACACTTTTACCAGAATGTTGAGCAGCTGAAAATGATGCTTTTGCAAGGCAAACTTCCAAATCAGCAATAGAGATGCCACTACGAGGGACTTTACGCCTGGGATTATATGACTGTACAACAGCTAAAGCAACCCACTGAGGGGTAGTAGTTTGAGTACTCAGGTCACCATGATCCTCTGCTGAAAATCAGTAACAGGGCTAAGAATACACCAAGTGAAGTAAAAGGAAAAAAATAATGAAGTCCAAAGTACAAACGAACGACAATTTGTGTTGTCACTTGGGAGAACTTGTCCCCTCACTTCCCGACATCCAAAATAAACCTCGACAAATTAGAAGTTAGAAGGGCAATTCCTCCAGTATGATGTTGAAAAAGGTGAAAAATAAAACAAAGATGTTTGAAGTTATCAGAAAAGAAGTGAAATCCACATCACTGTCTACTTTGCACTACAAAATTTGCAAAAACTTTTAGTGCTCTTGAGAAACCTTCCCGAAAAAAAATGGATTAAAATAAAATGATAATACTAACCAGTTATTTCTATAAGATGTAGATCACCCAGATGGAGATCTCCAAATTCTGATGCTCGCTGATAAGCGTCGGGAACTGTGTCTGAGAGCCTAGCTAGTGCATCAAACAGACCCCCATGACCCCAGTTTCCAGAATTATCAACACAGCTGCGAAAATGATATCGACAAGTCAAAATGTCTGTGCTTAAATGTATTGAAACACAAGGAAGAGCCATCAACAGCCATTACATATTTACAAGAGCACCATAAGGAATACTTGGATCTGGCGATTGTTTTTTTAATAATTGATCGGCAATTCCAGGATGTTAGTTATTCACAATTTTGCATTATCATCCTATTAAAGATAATTTTGGTAAGAAATACTACCTGAATATAATAGTAGGATCCGAAGGAGAAACTGCTGCAGGATTAGTGCAGTCCCCATAAACTAAATGAACTGAGCCGGTATCTGACATCACATCCTGATTGACTGGGCCAAGAGGATTGCTGACAGATAATGAACGATATCCAAGAGCTTCCCATTTAGATAATTTTTTCTCCTCTGCCTTCTTACGAGCAGCTTCGGCTTTAAGGTGCTTCTCATCAGGTTGAGATCTCCTATGTCCTACTTCCAGTTCATTACTATCATCTGCTGGTAAGGATTGCTTGAAGTTCTCAATCCACGACACATATGAAGCCTCGTCAAGACCAGGATTAAAATCGATAACCTTAGAACCCTCTTGGATGACTAGATCTTTACTATAGACCAGATCCAATTGATTGGTCTGAATGTTTCTGTCACCCACATCTGGTTGTAACTCATTTCGGGATGCAACAACCTTTTCAGCCAAACCAGAAAGTTCGGCTATATCTAGTTGATTGTCTGATTTTTCCATTTTCATATCAAAAACATGCAACCCGAATATGACAGATTTCAAATCAACAGCTTCAGTTCCTCCAACATTACTTCCCTCATGATCTGAAATATCATCTCCTATAACATTATGACTCAGCTGTAATTTCCTTTGTGCTCTACGGATAATAACCTACATCATTCCATGTCAGCATCCCAAAGTTGTGCTTACAAGAAGTGAAACGAGATTGTTTTACCTCCTCAATTGTACGTCCAGTAACCAAGTTGACACACAACACATGATTGACTTGGCCAATCCTGTGTGCACGCTGCAGAGCCTGCTTATCCACTTGAGGATTCCAATCTTGCTCGTAAAATATGACCTGCAAAGTGTTGAATCATAGTCTTTTAGAGGCATATAATTCATAGCAACCCCTGATATATCTCCAGAAACGAAAAACAACCGTTTAAGTATCAACATATTATACAGAAACTCCAAGAATCTACAAATAGTCGCGGGCGCAACACCCTTCAGTTATTTTCGGTAGCAAAATGACATTTTAAATCATCTTTATTATCAGTGTAGAAAGGTTTGTCGTCCAAATAAATGCTTTCTAAACCGAAAGAGTGCCTTGGAATTCCTGTCACAATGATAAATAATTGGAAGTTTCTCCTGAAACGTTGGATACAAATTTTCCATGAGCAGTGTAAGCTGCCGCTCTGGAGAGTTTTCTAGGTATAAAAAGAAAGTAAACTTCCTAGATAGGCACAAGCAACTACATAAATATAACGATATGAGAAACATCGTAATGCAACCTCAATCGGACTAACTAAGTATAAGAGGAAAGTGAACCTCCTAGATAGGTACAAGCAACTACACAAGTACAGTGATAGGAGAAACATCGTAATGCAACCTCAATGGGACAAACTAATTGTTCTATTTTTTCTATGGCTTGCATTTGTATGGATGCTTCAATGGCACTTTTCAAAACATGGCCATCCATATAATCAATAATTACAGTAAGTTAAAGTGGACACCAACAAAAATAGATGAAGCATAACTTTTTCAAAAACATTAACAATGTTTCCCATTCAAATTCTCACATCACAAAATTTATAGCATTTTTTAGATACACAAACAGTACTTACAGTATCAGCAGCCACAAGATTTAATCCCACTCCCCCAGCTCGTGTGGAAATCAAAAAGACAAACGGACTACTCGAACAAGCATCATCACTAGCACTTCTAGGCACAGATTTTTGGCTGAAACTTCTGATTGCAGCAAAACGCTCTTCTGCTCGAATTGAACCATCAAGTCGCTCATATGTATATTTCCTCATTTCTAAAAAGTCCTGCATGATAAGCTCATATGATGGAAAATTTAAGATAAGGGGCTAACATAACATCAACCCGATAGTATAAAGCCTTACAGTAGATACGTAGAAGAAATATGTTCACCTGTAATATGTCAAGTGTATGAGTCATCTGGGCAAACAATAGAATGCGATGCCCACCGGCATGCAGCTTCTGAAGTAGCTGGTCCAAAATTAGAAGTTTACCACTAGCCTGATGAAAAATAAATTTAGGTGTATTATTATTTTCATCATATGATATCATAAAAGACCAGTGAAATCGGAAAACTTAAATGACAGACCAAGCAAAATGTAGGAGTGCTCACAAAGATGCTCCTTGATTCAAATGAATGATTTTTTTTTTTTGTACTGTTAACTGTAACAAATAATGGACTCAGGTTCCATTTTAAACTACATTTGTAAGATATTTTTCTGTAATCTTAATTGGGTAGTTTGACTACCTGAACCAGGTGCTCACCCTCCTCAAATGGTTCAGGCTCAATACCCGGGAAAAGGTATGGGTGACTACATGCTTTCCGAAGCTGAATTACCTAAAGGAGAATTATAATTCACCAGCATAAGAATTCATATCCAATTGAAATTGTTAAGTACGAAAATATGATGAACCGAAACCAAAATGGCAATTACACACAGACAGAAAGAAATCTGCTTACAGTATTTTGCAGTGATTGAGCATTAGAAGCTCCAGAAGCAAGTGCAAGCAGCTTTGGAAGTTCTTTTCTCAATATCGACATATAAACCTTCTTCTGTAGCGCAGACAAAGGTGCCATCCTGTCCCAAAAAATTAAAATCATCATACAGATGCAACATCTGATACTTCACCAAATATTGATGTGACACAACTCCAGAACAACTTCACTAAAAATAAAAATAAAAACAGAATTGGTGCAACGCAACTGGAGAACAATTCAATACACGTGTTATGTTAACTAGATTCAGGATCAGTTGAAGAAACCCTGCTAACTTATAGGATCTCATCAGATCACAGTAAATCAGCTAATAGAAAGAGGACCAGCGACAATAAGAAACTAACACAGTTATTTCAGTAACAGGTGGCAATTGGAGTGTTCCAGCCTCGATAAGTTTGGATTTGGTCCTTCGAAGCATGAGTGCTCCCAGCACATATTTTAAGACCTTAAATTGCTCCTTCACTTTTTCTCCATCCTGACCTGATCAGAAGTGGTACCAAAAAGTTCAACGGAGAGCTCCACACCACTTTCACAAATACTAACTTGGTGAAGCACCTTCAGATGCACATATTGTAAGCCACATTATAAATTTAAAAAAAGAAAAGGAAAAAAAACATGGCAATTTTTCGAGTTTGTAAGACTTTTTAGTCAAAATCAGATATGTGCATTCGCTCGCAGTTCATAAAACACCCAGAGACCAGTGCATTTGAAGTTTACGTGAATGCAGATACATAAATATGTGTGGGTAGTAAGTTTACATGAAGGGTCTCCAGCTTCTTTGAAATGAGAAAGAAACTGCTCCAGCGTTCCAAAGATTAAAGGCATGCAGAAGTGCATCAAAGCCCAAAGTTCAGTAAGATTGTTTTGAATAGGTGTTCCCGTCATAAGCAATTTTCTTGGCATGACAAATCGCTCTCTTAGAACAGTATATAAAACCTGTTCAAATTTTGTCAAGAAAGAGGTTATAACAGCCACAAAAAAGCTGAAGAAATAACTAAAAAGATTGTAAGTCAAGCCCAGCTACTATATCATATGTTCGCCATCAGATTAGAACTACATGCAGCATTTAGAGACAAAACATGATTGTCAATGAAATATTTTAGCGGATACAGAAGTAGAAACCAGTTACTGTTTCCTAATAGTCAGAAACCCAACCCCGAAAGGAAAACGAATTTAAATTCCACTCAATATACATCAAGATCAGTACGATGTGAGAGATAGGTCATAAAATATTAGAAACAGCACATGCACAATATAGTGTGATGACAGTTAACCATTCTCATTTCTCCATTGTGCAAAAAGATATTAAACAGTTCAAAATGTTTACCAGTGTTAAATATGATTTATTATGCGTTTGAGGATTGACAGCTAAGATAAACACATCGACCGATTCTAAAATTAGATAAATGTGTAATCTGTAAACATACACTGGAGGGGTTTTTGAGTCTCTGTGCTTCGTCAATTATTGTATAATGCCAAGTGAACTGGGAGAGAAAGTCCTGATCAATCATTGCTATGTCATAAGTCGTCAATAGCACATCAAATGAAAATGTCGGGACCTGCAATAACCAATAAAATCATGGAGGAGAAAAATAACAGCATTCAATTCAATCATCATATTTGACTGAATTTAGTTTTAATACTCAGAAACATGTACAGGATCTACTTACATGCGATGATGCCGACAACTCTTTAACATAATCATGCATTTCCTGACGCAATTTACGCCTATGTTCTTTTTCTCCAACATAACGAAGCAATCTCAATTTTGGAGCAAAATTGGCCACTTCAGACACCCAACCGTCGGTCACACTAAGAGGACATAACACCACTGCAAGTCGTATTAAAATTTTACAGTCCAATTATGACTTGAACATCTTTGGATACAAAATGCCAGAAGGTAAAAATGTATTTACTCACGGAATGGTCCAAGAGACTTCCGACATACTTTCAGATAATTCAAAAGACAGATAGCCTGCAAAGTCTTCCCTAGTCCCATCTGTAGGAAAATCATTAGCAATGACGAAAATCATTATGGTATACAAACACCACTGGAAGTTCCATTTTTCTCCTTCAAGCCTTGTTATAGATACTTCAACCAAAACTACTATAACTTAGCAGCTAGATGCGATCAAGGTTAAGAAAATCACAGCATTCATATAAAGCCAAATAGTTACTCCAAAATGTAGATGTAACGATACTAAGTAGAAAATGCATTGATCGAAACAACTCGCACAACTGACATACTCTGCCAAATCAGGATTTGCATAAAACACCTGAAATCCATGTCATTCAGAAAGCTTAATTCAATAAAACGCAACTTGTTTCCTTACTAAGTATTTTCCACATGTTATGAAATGGCAAATTCCACTTTGCCTGTACGCATTCCATAATTAAAATGCATACATAAAAAACCATATCCGGTCAAAGTCTAGAGCAAAAAAACGAACCCAAAATGAACTATGCAGACTGTAGAAATTTTTTTTTTTACACAAAAAAAAGGCCTAACACATGGCATCGGAAGCTTACAATTGCTATTGTAAAATCGAGATTCAATAATAGAGTTGGCATATTCCTTTTCCATTCAAAACTACAAACTCGATTCAAGTATATATTGCATGTAAATTACAATTATTCTTAGTGATTAAATCCTCAACAATAGTTTTTTTTTTCCCTACAATTCTCAACAACAGTTCTTAATAGAAACATATCCTCATACGGCATTCCTCAACAAATGACAGTGAAACTGTGGCAACAGCATTCGTTTTTCCCATTTAGACGAAACGACTTCATTTTGCAAGCAAGATACACAAATAAATCAGCACAATATTAATTCTGCGAGTTGACATAGTTCTCTACAACCAAAAATCCTCACCTCGTCCCCTGCAAAAGAGAAATAGCCACACTTACAAACATCAGAAAAACAACCAACAAAAATGAAATGAAATTTGGAAAAAAAAAAAAAAAAGGTCAAAAGTACAAATTATTGCAAGCAGTAGTTCCCGAATGATGACTAACCGAGAACGACGTTGACTCCAAGGTGGTACCGTCGAATGAGCCACGAGACACCTTCGATTTGATGAGGTTTGAGCGCCGCCGTGATCTCCAAATCGGAGGTATCCACACGAGTTTCTTCGGCGGCGCGTGAGTCTCCGTCGTAAACGCACTTCGCGGCCGCGACTAACCTCTGCTTGTAATCCATGTTCTCACCACGGCGGTGGTCCGGCGGAGGTGGGAATTGCAGCGCGGGGGTTTTAAACTTTTGATATGAAATGACTGTATTGCCCTAGGTCAAAAGTACAGCGGCGCAAAGAGAATTACAGGTGGCGAGATTGAAACCGCCGAACGGGAAATAGTAGCGTCAATCGTTTATTGCAATCAGATCCCTTTATTGTTTTCTAATTGTTACGAAAACCCTTAATAGTATTCTATTGGCAAAAAAGTCCCTATGCTATGGGCTTTTTCTTCACCCAAAAAATAAACCAACAAGAAGTTGGTATATGAAAATGGGCTGGTGGTTACGGTTTTGATTCTCGGCCCGGTTTTTGTTGCACATCAAGTAATATCCGAGTTTGGACTATAACCCATAGGAAATTCAAATATAAAATTCTTAAAGGGTTAATTATTAATTAATTGTATGGTTTTATTAATGCGCATATTAATAAATTGATTGATTATCATAATGTACTTACAACTAGTTCTTCACCCGTGCGTTGCACGGATGTCAGTTTTAAAATGAGAAAAATAATAATATGTAAACGACTATCTCTTTATAACAATAGCAATTCAAGTAAACAAAATGGAAGAAAATAAAAAAAAAACCATAAACTTTATCTCTTATTTCAGAATTTTAACATATGAGATTAAATTAAATATTCCAAAGAAGAAAACGTGAAGCGCGCAAACACGATATGAAGATTAAGTGAAATCATTTAAAATATATGGTATAACTCTATTTCGAGGAATGCAACCTACTACACAATGTCAATATTTTGCAAAATATCTAAATTAACAACAAACATGGTAGGAGAGAAGTAACAAAATAGATATTCAAATAACCTGTAAGTTTATAACTAATGACGTTTAATTAGTGATGCAAATTGCTCAAACAACAATACAACTTATAAATATTGCAAAAGAGATAAGATGTATACGTCCTTATTGATACCAATGCTGATATCAATACCGATACCAATATGGATATCAATACTGATACCAATATTGATATTAATATTGATACTAATACTTATACTAATTAATATCAATACTAATACTGATACTAATCAATATCGATACACATACTAATACTAATACTAATACTAATAATAATACTAATACCAATACCAATACTGATACCAATACCAATACTTATACTAATACTAATATTAATACTAATACTAATACTAATATTAATCCTAATACTATTGCTATAACACTAATACTAATACTAACACTAATATTAATACTTATACTAATACTAATACTAATACTAATACTAATACTAATACTAATATTAACACTAATACTAATACTAATACGAATATCAATACTAATGCGATACTAATACTAATGCGAATACTAATACTAATACT